TCCACAGGGCCCGCTCTCACTCCGCTTTTGCTCCTCCCACAGATTGACGGCTCAACCCTGCGCACGCTGTGCATGCAGCACGGCCCGCTGATAACATTCCACCTTAACCTCCCGCACGGTAATGCTTTGGTCCGTTACAGTTCAAAAGAAGAGGTAGTGAAGGCACAAAAATCTCTGCACATGTAAGTGTTTGCTCTCGCTAGTCGGAGTTTGACGTGGCTGCCGATGTCTTGCTGGGTGTGAAGCGCTTCTCGGGCGCAGGGACTCCCGGTGCCGGCTTAGCGGGCCCGTGCCCGAGCGCTGGGAGTAGCGGTCGGAGACGGACGGTCCGTTTGAATCGTGCTCTCTCGTCCTTCGCAGGTGTGTTTTAGGGAACACTACTATTCTTGCTGAGTTTGCCAGTGAAGAGGAGATTAGTCGCTTCTTTGCACAAGGCCAGTCTCTGACTCCGTCTCCTGGCTGGCAATCTCTGGGATCCAGCCAGAACCGACTCGGATCCATTGACGGTTCCCATTCGTTCTCAAACCGTAATGATCTAAATCACTGGAATGGTGCTGGGCTGTCGGGAACTAGCAGTGGAGACCTTCATGGCACTTCACTCTGGGGGAGCCCCAACTATTCCACGAGCCTGTGGGGCACCCCGAGCAGCAGTGACACCAGGGGAATTAGCAGCCCGTCCCCCATCAACGCTTTCCTTTCTGTTGACCACCTGGGTGGAGGTGGAGAGTCCATGTAACCTTTCACTTTTTTCAACTAATAAACTGTGACCTCAAGATGTAACAAAGCAGCACTAATTTGGACTTTTCACCTACAGCAAGGGGGTCACCTGTGGAAACAGTTACTTTCTGCACATTTTCCACTTTGTTTTAGCCCAAAACATATCAGTTTGAATACTTGAATCATGCAGGCCAATATTATAATGTGAAAAAGTATATATTTACACTTCCAGATAGTGCTATCCATATAAAACTGCTTGGAATGAGCTCATTTGTGTATATTCATCACGTTTATCCTTTGGGTTCCATGACTTTTTGTTTTGCATTTTGCTGATGATGTTGGAGTATGAGCTTTTTTCACTTTGCACTGAATGATGCCCTCCCTGTCCAATCGGCAATACCGGGGAGGCAGCAGTTCACGTGTAAATGTTTACTCAAGGATGTTGAACAGACAGTGTGCGCTCTACTATGCCTTGATGTGTGCCGACCGTCGTGTGGTATTGTGGCGTTCAGACCGAGTTATGATGCTGACTTAGGATTATGAATGAAAGTATTGCACCAGTTTTTTCATGTATAAAACTAAAGAATTTAGCTCTGCAGTTTAAAAAACTGTGGCCACAGCTGTGACTTGCAACCCAGCCTGCAAGCCAGGGGGGTCCTGCACTTTCAATAGGCTTTCAATTTTGTTTTGGGGGCGCCCGTGGCGGCGCCTTCTTGTTTACAGAGTATTTTTTTTTGTTGTTGTTTTTTGAGAAGAAAAAAAAGAAATAATGTTTACTCTTCCATCATTTTAAAAATTTTTAAAAAGACAAAAAAAAAAATTGAGAATGAAAAAGATGCTTTCTATCTCTGGGAATAACGAACAGTGTTTGGCCATGTCCTTTTGTTTTCTATTCCTGTATCCTAAATCAAAGAGCATGGCTCTCAGGAAAACCAGTTCCCCAGTAAAAACTCCTTGTAGTTTCTTATAGAAAAAAAAAATAAAAACTCAACTTTTAGCACTGATAATACCTATTGCTCTGTAAGACTTTTCTCTGCCAAAAAGAAGCCGCTTCGAGCTGGAGTTTGACGTCCCGCTTCCTTACGCCGTCTCTTTCTTGGTGCGTGGTGGTGGTTTGCTGATGACCCGTAGTTTACCCCTCGTGTGTTTTTGGTTTGTTTTTGGGTTGTTTTTTTTTTTTTGTAACCCCGTCGAGTGGCTCCGTCTCTGCTCCCGTGCCCGTGTGAACGTTACCTGTCGTCCCTTACAGCCGAGCTGAGGAACTATGCACACTGTACCCAGGACTGGGCTTACAGGACTGTCTGTTGTGGAGGAGTTTTACATGTTTCCGAGAGTTCTCGCCGATATTTTCTTGCAAAAGTGACGAGTTACATCTTCTTTGCCACAAAAGGTGTTTTATGATGCTTGTTTAGTCCATGAACTGAAGACTAGGCAAGGGTAAAACCAGTTTTAACCGTGCAGAAATCGCCATCATTTCATTGCCTTGATTCTAACTGTTTGTGTCTGAAGATGCAAAAGAAGTCAGTGGCTTTTAACTGTTTACAAATAGAATGTGATTGTAAAATGTACAGTTTGGTTGTGTTTGAACTATGAAGTTTCTCCGGATATTAATAAATCATGATGTTTTTGGCTGCTCAGCATAAAACTCTCTGTTTCTGTCACTTGCAGGCTGGTTTCTCTCCGGGGGCAGGCCCCGGTGATCCAACAGCTCTGTATTCCCGCAGCCTGGGGTTGGGTTCCCCCTTTTAGCCACCCGGGGTGATTTTTTAGGAACAGATCCGCGTTTTCTTCCAGCAGAAACCTCCCCGGACGCACCCGCTCCGCGACGGGAGCGGACAGGTAGAGTGCTGCCGCTTGCTTTCCCTT